AATGCAGGTGTAGAAGCACGGTGGCTAGGAAAAACTCCCTAGAAAGGCGAAAACCTAGGAAGAAACCTAGAGAGGAACCAGGCTATGAGGGGTGGCCAGTCCTCTTCTGGCTGTGCCGGGTGAAGATTATAACAGAACCATGCCAAGATGTTCAAAAATGTTCATAAGTGACAAGCATGGTCAAATAATAATCAGGAATAAATCTCAGTTGGCTTTTCATAGCCGATCATTAAGAGTTGAAAACATCAGGTCTGGGACAGGTAGGGGTTCCATAACCGCAGGCAGAACAGTTGAAACTGGAATAGCAGCAAGGCCAGGCGGACTGGGGACAGCAAGGAGTCACCACGGCCGGTAGTCCCGACGTATGGTCCTAGGGCTCAGGTCTCTCAGTTGGCTTTTCATAGCCGATCATTAAGAGTTGAAAACAGCAGGTCTGGGACAGGTAGGGGTTTCGTAACCGCAGGCAGAACAGTTGAAACTGGAATAGCAGCAAGGCCAGGCGGACTGGGGACAGCAAGGTGTCATCATGCCCGGTAGTCCTGACGTATGGTCCTAGGGCTCAGGTTCTCAGAGAGAAAGAGAGAACGAGAGAATTAGAGAGAGCATACTTAAATTCACACAGGACACTGGATAAGACAGGAGAAGTACTCCAGGTATAACCAACTAACCCCAGCCCCCCGACACATAAACTACTGCAGCATAAATACTGGAGGCTGAGACAGGAGCGGTCCGGAGACACTGTGGCCCCATCCGAAGAAACCCCCGGACAGGGCCAAACAGGAAGGATATAACCCCACCCACTCTGCCAAAGCACAGCCCCCGCACCACTAGAGGGATATCCTCAACCACCAACTTACAATCCTGAGACAAGGCCGAGTATAGCCCACAGAGGTCTCCACCACAGCACAAACCAAGGGGGGGCGCCAACCCAGACAGGAAGATCACGTCAGTAACTCAACCCACTCAAGTGACGCACCCCTCCCAGGGACGGCATGAAAGAGCACCAGCAAGCCAGTGACTCAGCCCCTGCAACAGGGTTAGAGGCAGAGAACCCCAGTGGAGAGGGGAACCGGCCTGGCAGAGACAGCAAGGGCTGTTCGTTGCTCCAGAGCCTTTCCGTTCACCTTCACACTCCTGGGCCAGACTACACTCAATCATATGACCTACTGAAGAGATAAGTCTTCAGTAAAGACTTAAAGGTTGAGACCGAGTCTGCGTCTCTCACATGGGTAGGCAGACTGTTCCATAAAAATGGAGATCTATAGGAGAAAGCCCTGCCTCCCGCTGTTTGCTTAGAAATTCTAGGGACAATTAGGAGGCCTGCGTCTTGTGACCGTAGCGTACGTATTGGTATGTACGGCAGGACCAACTCGGAAAGATAGGTAGGAGCAAGCCCATGTAACGCTTTATAGGTTAACAGTAAAACCTTGAAATCAGCCCTTGCCTTAACAGGAAGCCAGTGTAGGGAAGCTAGCACTGGAGTAATATGATCAAATTTCTTGGTTCTAGTCAGGATTCTAGCAGCCGTATTTAGCACTAACTGGACATCAACCACCCGAGCCACGGCCTGTTCACTACGCTATCATCCAGAACGCGAGGTCAGTACAGGTGCATCAAAGCTGGGACCGAGAGACTGAAAAACAGATACTATCTCAAGGCCATCAGACTGTTAAATAGCCATCACTAGCCGGCTACCACCCGGCAATTCAACCCTGCACCTTAGAGGCTGCTGCCCTATATACATAGACATGGAATCACTGGCCACTTTAATAATGGAACACTAGTCACTTTAATAATGTTTGCATACTGCTTTACTCATCTCATATGTATATACTGTATTCTATTCTACTGTATTTTAGTCAATGCCACTCTGACATTGCTTGTCCTAATATTTATATATATCCTAATTCCATTCTTTGACTTTTAGATTTGTTTATTGTTGTGAATTGTTAGATACTACTGCGCTGTTGGAGCTAGGAACACAAGCATTTAGCTACAACCTCAATAACATCTGCTAAATATGTGTATGTGACCAATACAATTTGATTTGATTTAGTCAGTTGCACATCTGAATGCATTCAAGCAAAATGTGTTTTCTGCATTTAACCCAATCAGAGGAGTGGGGGGCTGCCTTAATCGACGTCACAGGTCATCGGTGCCTGGGGAACAGTTGTTGGGGGTTAACTGCCTTTCTCAAAGGCAAAACAGATTTGTCCTCCTTGTCAGCTCAAGGATTCAAACCAGCAATTTTTCGGTTACTGGCCCAACGCTCTTAACCGCTAGGCTACCTGCTGCAGTTAATGAAAGTAGTCATTTTTGAGTGAGCATAACATCGGTTTGTTTTATTCTCATGGAGAGACGTGTTTGACTTTAATGTGAACAAGACGGCCATATGCCAAGTTCATTAGTATCTAGTCAGATCAGGCCATTGGCCCGACTGCAAGAGAAATCTAGAGTGGAGGTCTTGAAAGGACAGATTGGGATTATTGGTAATGTTTTATTTGACTATACTCAAACCATAAACAGTAAAATCACCAGTGTTAAATTTGCAGTGTCAAAAGTGATTGGCTCCCTTAGATTTGATTGAACAACATGCAGTGTAAAACGACCCCTAGTGTTGGTGTTGATAACTGTAGTTAAATGCTAGGTGTAATTTTTCACTCTAATTAGTGTAAGAAACATTGTAACTCCACCCACCAATTTTATTTGACGCTTTCAAGATTTACTTTCTTGTGGATGCCATTACAGAAGGCAGCACTAGTACTTTGCAGCAAGATGAGTTTCAAACAAACGTGACTAAATTATTATTTAGTCAAGCTAGCGAGCTAATGCTTCTTAAAACTAATTTGTAATACATTTTGAGTGTTGTGCTGGTGAATTTCGCTAGTTACCACCTTGCGTTCTTTAGCCGTTGCCACCACGTGCAGTGCACTCTATCTAGCACAGCTCGCTGCCGACGACTATCCACAGTTTCTATGCTTTGTTGGCCAAATTAGCTAACTAGCCAACAAGACTTCATGTGAATGCCATTGTTTGTTCTTTAAATTCCAGCTCCTTTTATGTGGCGGACTAATCTGATAAAGGTGAGTAATTATAGACAACTTGCATAATAGCATTGGCTAGCTAGTTAATTTAATTATTTCTGCAATAATGTCAAGTCAGTGACTGGCTTGCTAGCCTAGCTAAATAATGCAACTTCTTTGTAATTTCAGCTTCTCTGGCAGTCTTTCTTAAAGGTAATGTGTCTGCTGTTCATTTCCAATGTTAACTAATCATTCAGTGGGGGGCTGTGACAAAGTGTACATGGCAACCGCCATTGGTGGCTGTCCCGTTTGAAGAGAATCAAAGCTATTTTCTTTCTAACGTGCTAATTTGAGCCGTGTGCAGAGGGAAAAAATGATGCTTGTCTCCTCTCCGCCTGTCGCGCCCCTCATAGTCAAATTACTGTATTGCTCCGGGTTGGCAGCTCTCAACTGCTTTCATTGACAACACCGATGGGTGAGGGGAAACGCAAGGACACGTGTGTTGTTGCGGTAGTTCAGTGCATATTGCTGTGTGGATGGAAACAGACATTGGCAGAGCTGTTCCTCTGTCCTTCATAGAAAGTTGTGTTAGACTTAATGATTTGTTGCCTAGCTATGTTAATTAATCAGTTCTTAATCCGTCCACTTTCTATAGCCATAGGTCTACAGCAGGGTGCTAATGATGTGGTAATAGCCTAACATAAACATTAGTCAATTCACCAACGAGAATCAAAGCATTGAATTAATGTTAGACCTAGGCTAACTCCCAGAAGGAGGTTTGATGGATTCTGCCAGGGATGGAGTTTTGAAACAAGGTCACATATATGCAGCCTCATTGCTGCTTAATGTGAAATGGGTTGTTTAGACTATTTTAGTTCCTTTCTTGTAAATTTAATTAGTTTACAGTACTGAACCAGTTTGTCTGTTTCAGTGAAGTTGGTGTGAGGCCAATTTGTGACTCACAAGGTAGGCCAATTGTGAGTCACAAATCAGTATTTGAATATTGTTGTGCTGTAGAGTTAATCTCATACAGTTATGGTTATGGATTACATTTACATGTACATTTACGTCATTTAGCAGACGCTATGTTCATGGTAGCCTATCTTCAAAAACGAATCAACAGAACTTGACTTGTTTGAATATTTAAATCAATGTCTCTTTCTGTCTCTATCCTCAGATCCAACAACGCTGATCAAAGTGAAGTTGAAGGGTGAACAAAAATGTGTCAAACTCACTGACCTGAGGCTGAGTGACTTATTGAATGAAGGTACTGTAAGCTTTTAAGTTGACCATTAAAATTGAATTGTCTTTTACCACTGTAGTTGCAAAAGATTCATTTCTCCGTTAAAGGGGAATTCCACAAATGTTTCTGTTTCTCTTGAGTCCATATGGCTTCATATCATTATATGAGTTTCACAGCCATCCTAATGCTGATGTTAAAGGGGAACTTCACCCATTTGAATTTTGGGTGGCCTTATTTTTCACTTTATATATATTATTTCCACTGTGCCATTAATCCATGCTTGAAAGATGCAACCTAAATATGCAAATATTGAGTTATAGGACAATGGAAACAAAATATGTAATATTAGTGGTTTTGGAGTGTTTTATAGACACATTTTCATAATGCATTCAGTCAATGGAAAGTGATGATTCAGCAAAAGTGACAACCAATTTTCAGAAATACCATATCAAAAAACGATTTGGGTAATCAACTACAAGCACAGAAAGGGGGAAAATATAACATGTAAAAATGTGTTAACTTCCCCTTTAACTGACGGTATAACAACAGAATTTTCCCTTGGGGATCAATAAAATATCAAATGCAAACATTTCACAGTTTTGCTATAGGATTGCTGTTAAACTCTAACTCACATAGTGATGATTATTTTGAAACCATCTATAGAATGGATTGGAGAACAACGAACAGAACAATTGAGTGTAATTCCCCCACTAACGGTTATTTTTTTGTCTCAGCATTCCTGAAATTTGACGTACCAGTCGCCAGCCAAACGAATACAAAGCTGTATGATGAGTCGGGAACTGAAGTTGTTGGAGAAGTGTTTGAGGAGGTGCTGACACCACCAAGTCCTGGTGTTTTTACAATCACACTGGACAACGATACTGATACTGGTGTTGGTTTTTCACAGTACTAAAGTTAGAGGAGGGTTTAACTGTCAGCCTCTCCCTTGGGGATAGTCACTTTGCATAGAGCTGTGTTGCTTTATCACATTGATTTGGAATGTCTGTCTTTGTAAAAACCTTTGCAATAATCAACCACTTTGTGGGACAGTATCTTCCCAGATGACTTCCTCCTTTGCCAGTTCCTTGTTGGAGATCTCGTCCACTGAGTCGGATGATACTGTCATTCTGAGCGATGATGGGAGCCCTTCAAGAAAACGACAGAGAGCTGAGGATGAAGCTAAACATGTATGTTTCTGAGTGTAATGTAATGAGCCTCTGTTTAGAATAATTAATTGCTAACCTCTCTTTCTCTTAACTAATGTTCTGTATATTAGCTTACCCCCCTGATAGTTGGGAGCTGTAATCCAGTGCATACGTTTTTACCTGCAGTGTCCGATAAGAGCGGGTAAGGGAGGTTCTAGATTGTCCTTGATCATTTTCTTTTCATTGTTAATCCATAACATACTGAAGAAGAAATTTGGTGGCGATCTTGTCATCAAAGAAAACTCTCGAACCAAAGGGCTGACTCATGGCACCAGACGAAAGATGATTAATATTCTCACAGCAGAGATGACCGAGACTCACGGGTAACCACTAAACCAGGCACGCAAGAAAGCTGTCTGTATCTAGGCTGTATTTCAGATTAATATTGCAATTTTAGTGACCGGAACCAACAGGGGGCTTCATTGCAAATTGATTAATAAAGTAATAAAGTACTCTTCTTGTCAGGACATCACCACCACGCCATGTGAGGGAGACATATGCTCAATGAATTGTCGTCTTGTTCCCTTACCTCAAGGACCCCTACAAAACCAAAGGATATGTGAGTATTAATTGGCCAAAATGTTTTTGTATAGGCCACATTTTGCATGCATTTGGGTTTTGGATTGCATGTTACACAACTTGCAATTATTGTCTGACTAGGAGTGATAATGTATGTGAGCAAAGTGTTGCTGTGACTTTCCATTGTGTTTAGATGAGTGAATGTGTTCTCCTTTTCTTCAAGGAACATTATTTTACCCTCAAACTGGAAATGGTTACTTGTCCTGGAAAATCCAAACCATCCAGAGGAATTCAGCTTCATCTGAGAAACGACCATCTGGCCAGTCATTCAGTGGTGGCCCAACAGCTGAGAGAGAGACTTCATCCCGTCCAGAGATTACCCTGAGTGATGAACAGTGCAGGGAGGCCATTTCCCTCATGAAGCATTCTTCTGATGAGGCCACCATCAAGCAGAAGATGAAGATTTGCAGTGGTGTCAAGTACTTAAGTAAAAATACTTCAAAGTACTTTTTTGGGGGGGTATCTGTACTTTACTTTACTATTTATATTTTTGACAAGTTTTACTTCACTACATTCCTAATGAAAACTATGTACTTTTTATGCCATACATTTTCTCTGACAACCAAAAGTACACCTTACATTTTTAATGCTTAGCAGGACAGGAAAATGGTGCAATTCACGCACTAATCAAGAGAACATCCCTGGTCATCCCTACTGCCTCTTATCTGGTGGACTCACAAAAACACAAATGCTTCATTTGTGAATGATGTCTGAGTGTTGGAGCATGCCCCTGGCTATCTGTAAATTTAAAAAATAAGAAAATTGTGCCATCTGGTTTGCTTAATATAAGGAATATATATTTTAGCAATTGCATTTACTTTTGATACTTAAGTATATTTAAAACCAAATACTTTTAGACTTTTACTCAAGTAGTATTTTACTGGGTGACTTTCACTTTTACTTGAGTCATTTTCTATGAAGGTCTTTACTTTTACTCAAGTATGACAATCGGGTACTTTTTCCATAACTGGACATTTGAATACAGACGGAAGATGACTCATGACCCAAGTAAATTCTGCGAGTTGCTGACTGGATATGAAGGGCCTGGTAAGGTCTTCAAATTCAACATTTCAAACAGCATCACCTTATCAGCATCCTCCGTGGAATCCAAAAATGGAGAGTTTGATTGCTTTGGCAGTTTCGTAACTATTGTGCTATTGTGTTACATTTTGCTCAGTAACTTTCTGTGTTTAGTATGGGACAGTGATCGCTCCTCCATCCTCCTCTTCCTCCATTTGATTCCCCCTTCGTCACAAGGCTACAAAAGACCAGGCAAGTTGTCTGCCTCTCAAGCTGAGAACCATCTCGTCATATTCAAAAAGGTTTACATTGATCTCCTTATCTGAGTACCTAGTGTCATGGTTTATTTAATCCAAGCCACTATACTATTGGTGAATTTGAAATAATGGTAGTGTTTCTTTTGTTGTTTTTGTCTCCAGGCAGGAACCAGTATCACCTTGATGCCATTGCCCAAAGCAGTCAACCATACCTCCTTGCTGTTGGGACTAAGAGGAGCAGCATCCATAGTTACTTCATCATCCTGGACAAGCAAGCTCTGCCATGCAACTCTACAAGCGCTCTTGTTGCCTTCGATGAGCTCTTCAAGACACACTTTGTGTTTGGGACCTCTTACAATCTGATGCTGCATAGGATGTATACCTTCATACAGACAACTGTGTACAATATATATATTTGGAAGGTTAAGGAGAGTCCATGTGTTGCAGAGCTTAGAGCTAGATTCCTACACTAAAGCAGAAATATTGTGTTCAGATTTGTTTTGTTTGTCATGCTAGTCATGGGTGTACCAACTTGCTTGTGAGGCATCTCAAGTTGATTCATGGACCTTGCCCTGGTAAAACACTTAAGCTGAAATGTGGTCAAATAGGTTGTTGTCGTGTATTTGGTACTTTTTCAGCCTTAAGGAAACATTTTTGGACAAGATTATGTTCTATTGAACACTGAAATGGAGGCCAATGCAAATGTTGATAGTCAGCCAAGTGATTTTGATGTCATGCCTACAACTTCTTATGTTTTGCCAATATCCAACAAAAACACCCTTATTGCACAACTGCAGTCTGCGGGTGTAGGTCAGACAACTGTAAATAGTTTTGTACCTTCCATGGAAGAAGCAGTTTTTGAGGTACAGGGTCAAGCTAAAGAGACAGCTCTGAAATGTTTATCTCTACAGGACAAAGAAACGCTAGGCAAAATCAAGCGGTCTTTTCAGGATATTGAAAACCCTTTCACATTCCGAAACGAAAAAAAGTATTTTGCACAGAACTGTTAACCTAGTGGAGAAAGTGATTGGTGTTACGTTTGATAATAGAAGAAATGAAAAAACTGGAATTTACGATCAAGTAGTCATATCTGACAAGTTTGCTTATGTTACAATTCTTCAGACGTTGCAGTCAATTTTTAAGAACCCAAACCTTATGATATGTTCTAGTCGAGTCACAATTTCAAAAGAGTTTACTTTGATTTGGAAGATGGATTGTATATTAAGAGACATTGCCTCTTCTCCAAAGAAAAAAATGGGTTGCAAATTGAACTGTTTTATCACTTTGAGACAGCCAATCCATTGGGATCAAAGAGGGGTATACACTTATGTGTGCACTGGAAAAGAGTCAGCCTGGTGGAGGAGTGATGAAGTGAGTTCTGGGCGTATTCCGCCAGGGAAGGAACCGGGCCCACTCCCCCTGCCAGTCTTGGCAGTGACTCCTTAGGAACCTCCCCAGCTCCTGGTTGGTCCTCTACACCTGCCCATTGGACTGAGGCCGGTACCCGAATGTTAGGCTGACCGTGGCCCCCAGCTTCTCCATAAAGGCTTTCCAGACCCGCAACATGAATTGGGGACCACGATCAGAAACAATGTCTTCTGGAAGGCCATAGTGCCGGAAGACCTGCTGAAATAGTACCCCAGCGACCTGGAGAGCGGTAGGTAGACCAGAGAGAGGGATAAAACGGCAGGATTTAGAGAATCTGTCAACAACGACCATAATAGTGGTAAAATCATCAGAAAGGGGGAGATCAGTTACTAAGTCTATGGACAGATGTGACCAAGGCTGCTGAGGCACGGGAAGGGGAAGTGGTGTCCCTGCTGGAGCATGCCGGTGAGATTTGGATTGGATACATACGGTGCATGAGCTGACATAGTGGGCAACGTCCTGCGCCAAGGTGGGCTACCAGTATTTATCGGAGAGGGATTGGATGGTGCAGGTGATACCTGGGTGTCCAGCGGCGAGGGATGTGTCTGTCCAGATCAACAGCCGATCTCTCACCCCCTTTGGGGACGTAGATGCGCTCTGGTGGGCAGATAGCAGGAGCAGGTTCCCTCTCCAGAGCCTGGCGGATGTCCACATCTATGTCCCAACACACGGGCCAACGATTCGGGAGGACAGATTGATAGGCTGGAGGGCACTCACAGGAACCTCCACCAACGTGGAACCACAGAGTGCGGGAAAGCAGGTCCTCCGGCATCCTGGTCCCGGCAGGGATTCTCATCCTCGACCAGGAGATGGTGGGGTTATGAAGTTGGAGCCACATGAGGCCGAGGATGACCATGTGTATGGGTGCCGTGGTGATGAGGAAGGGAAGGCTTTCCTGGTGTATGGGTCCTACGGTGAGGATGAGTGGTGCTGTGATGTGCGTAATTGTTCCAGATCCCAATGGTCGCGTATCCAGGGCTTGGACAGGAAAAGGATAGGAGAGCAGGTATGAAGTTCAGTGAGGAGGTGAGGGCCTGGTCGATTAAGTTCCCAGTGGCACCGGAGTCCACTGGAGCTGTAGAGACAACATTTAAGGGACAGCCAGCCAGTGAAATGGGATCCAGAAAGTGTTTGGTGGAAAACGATAATGGAATAATCACGCCTACCCTGAAAGATGGAAGGTCACGGGGCTGCCCCTCTGCTCTAGTGGACCCCGGGTTGGGACGCACAGGACACCGCTGAAGCTGGTGCCTCTCCTGGCCGCAATAGGGACAGAGCCCCAGCTGTCTCTAGCGACGCCGCTCTGCCGCAGAGAGGTGTGTGGCCCCTACCTCCATGGGTTCAGGCTCTGCCTCAAGACAGCCAAAGGAGGGAGGCGAGTGGCGAGGTGGAAGAAGAAGGTTATCTCCCGAAGAAGGTTATCCAGACGGATGGCCATCGCGATGAGAACGTCCAAGGATATGTTGTCATCCCAACATGCCAACTCCGTCTGGACCTCCTCACGCAGTCCACTGCGGAATAGAGTGAGGAGCGCTGGCTCATTCCATCCACTGGAGGCTGCCACAGTCTGAAAGTCGTACTCTCCGGTATGGGCACCCCCCTTGGAGTTGGAAAAGTCGCTCACCTCCCTCTCTTCCCTCTGAAGGATGGTTGAAGACCGCCCTGAACAGAGCCATGAACCTCTCATAGGAACCCAGCTCCTCCTCTCCTCTCTTCCAGACAGCCGTAGCCCACTCCAACGCCCGTCCGGTTTAGCAGGGAAATGACCGTGGCAACCTTGGACCTCTCGGTGGTGGGGGCTCCCTTCTGATAGGCGGAATAGAGGGAGCACTGGAGTAGGAAGCCACGGCATTTCGATGGAGTACCGTCATACTTCTCCGGAAGGGACAGTCGGGCATCGCTAACCTGGGCGGACGGCTGGGTAGGCTGGCTCACTGTGACGACCCGTGGTAGGAGGCCCTCCGTCATAGGCATGGAGAACCTTGCTGGTGGTGTCGCGGCGGTGGAGAACGCGGAAGACCTCCTTCATGGTCGTAC